CCAAATGTCGATTGGTTCTGACCATGGCAGCTCGCTAACTTTGGCAAGATTTGGGGACACTGCTGTGAAAATCCATTTGAATCCTTGGAAATCCATTTTGAAAACACCTGTACTGTAGGTGTTTATAATGTGTTATTCCACTAAGTAGTAATTGATAATAAGCCCTACTTGTGATTTGTGTGTATAAACAATAACTAACACATTCTATAATCAATGTTATGATCAGTTCTACATGTTTAATCGATCTTATTCGTGGTGGCCTTTAAAAGCTAAACTAGATTATATCTATATACACATATATATATATACATATATGAGTTAATATTGCTATGAATGATATGAAATTAGTTGCTGATGAACCTACATTCAATTTTATAAGACTTGCTAGTGAGAGTACAGCACAACTGCTGTTTTGGAGCATTGAAAAAAGGGAATTGCAGAAAAAGAAGATTCCAGTTTTATCTGGGTGGAGCTTATAGACTTTAAAGAAGTGGTTTTGAATCAGTACATAGATTTGTGCACCTGCTGATGCCCAACTGGAATTTTTAGCAATATTTGAGGCATTTTCTGGTATCGTTATCGCAACATCTCCATCTGTAATCTCAGGCTCTGCTGCATCAGTGACTGTTCTTTTAAATATTCGTCACATCTGAGTCTTTTATGAACTTGCAAGGCAACAATCTCTGTGAAGCCTCTTTCAGATGATTCAAAAAGAGGTAGCTACACTAACAATGCAGTGATATTCTAAAACTGCAAAAAGGATTTTTGAAATGTTATATTTCTGACTTTTAATTTCAGTGACTGTTATAACATTAAGTCTGATATAATGTGTCAATCATGAAGCAGGGCAAAAGACAGCAAGACCACACATTCCCTTTTCAATGTATTGATATTTTGCTTTAAATATCACACGTGGTGGTGTCTGTATCTTTACATCTGTGTAATAACTAGTAACTGCTCAAAACAAACCCAGTCCTTTAGCTTGCTTGACATGTGCAGAGAGCTGTAGCTGATAAGTGATCACACTCACTGATTCCACAACAGGGAAAAAGAAAAATCGAATTTGAGTTGAGACTCTGAGCAAATCTGCCCGTGCATATATGTATTCAAAGCACAAGAAACAGTAATTACAAGGAGCCCTCGGCATTGGGAAGTCCAGTCCTGCTCGACTGGTCATTCTGCTCACGACGTCCCACCACCATCTTTCTAATAGGAGTGGGAGTGTGTTGGAGTGGAGATAAGGCAGGTGTTACAGCACGTCTCGACATGGGGGAGGTAGGTGGAAGAGAAGGTGAAGCTGGGGGGGGGAGCTGCGTGAAACAGGCATCGGCTGGTGTGTAAAACAATCTCTCCCCTTCCTGTGACTACACCTCCAACGCCACACCAGTCCTATCTCCAGCTCCAGGAAACTCTCGGGGTGCTATTTACCGCTTGCACAGCACTGATAATACTGTCTCCAGGGCAGGGCAGAAGAGAGTGATGGGCCGGGATACAAAAAAAGAGAAAAACAGACAGAGATAGAGGGCCGGAGGAGGGAGAGAGGAGATGACGAAGAGCAAGGAAATGAGGCAGAGAGGAAGTGAAGAGAGAAGGAAGAAAACGAGCAAAAAGAAGAGGAGGAGGCAGAGGGAGCATCACCATGCAAATTACAAATGCATTTCCAAAGACCCAATTTGTGTCTGTGCGAAAATGCAACGTGTGATTTAACCAGAGAAAACTGCAGCAGGCTGAACCATAAATTGACCCTCTACACAAACTCATGTCCTTGAATTGATCTGCTTTTGCACAGATTTATCTTTTAACTCACAGCATGTAAACTCTTAAGTCTTCAGTCTAACTAACCAAAAAACACATCACATGGACTGTATATAAAAATAGGTAGGACGTACACTCTGGGTCCAGAAAGTGAAGCCAATGTACAAGTCACTAAAACCTGTATCGTCTCAAATGACCAGCAGAGGGCAACGTCATTGGTTGGAAAAGGACGTTTAAGAGAACATGACTAATTCTCACTTAATTAATAATGTCAGTTAATGCGTTAATCTCTCCAATCTCTAATTTCAAGTGTTCTTCAATACAACATGATATTCATTTTACAAATTATGGTCTCATTTATAGTCAAATAGAAGATAAAGGACGCTATGCATAGGAGCGTGGGTACTGTGTGATTGACAGCTTGTTCCGTCCAATAGGTTTAAGTCCCAGGCGCAATTGTTTCAAAAAACCAAGATGGCGCTGGTCAGAAGGCCAAACTTGAGGCCTCAAAACAGCATTTCAAAAACCAATGGGTGACTTCACAGTGGGTTGACACATGGTACAACATCATCACACGCAGCCTGACTACTGCATGTTGAAGTGGTGAGAGGATTTTTCACATGTTCTTTTAACTACTATAATATTCAGTCAGAAAACAGGAAATGTGAGACAAGAAAAAAAGCTCAAATAAGATTTGAGGGTTGTGTAGTATTGCAAAATTATTTGCCACTGACATAGATTACTATGTCTTACAGAGAAAGACAAAGCAGAAGGACAAATGCCAGCAAAGCATTGCCTAAGAAGACTATTCATCTTTTGCCACTAGAGACTTTTCTTTAGAAAATCATATACTGTCAGTGGTGTCACACTCATTCTCATGCTGACGGAGACTCTATGGGGATATGAGACAACATGTTCTTTTCCAACAAAGAGGTATCAGGAACACAAAGGCCTAACACATCACCGTTTGAAGATCAGCATATTCATGGAGAAAAATGAGAACACAAATTAAAAGGTACAATTTGTTGTCAGCAACGTCCAGTGTCTCATTAGGTCTGTTTGAAACTAAAGACAAACATGCTGTTCAACATCATAGGCAACTTCTATATGAGCTGAAATAACAGATTGTGTACAGTATGGAGAGATTTCAAGTTAACTGCACATATGTATATTGAACAGCTTTATACCTACTGTACTACTCCAGAGTAAGTACTTATCGAAATGTTCATGTCCAAATATCCAATAATTATAAAACTAAATCTTCCTCCACAAAGTATTGTCCAGTTCTCAGTAAAAGTACAATCGAAAACATGGCCTCATTTCCTGAGAAATGCAGAAGTGGGAAAATACAACATTTTTCTACTGCACACAAACTATATAAAACATAATTTACATCACCATGTTCATAATTTATCAATCAATCAAATTTTATTTGTATAGCCCATATTCACAAAGTTGTCACAAAAATTGGATTTGTCTCACTATTGGGACATCCTCTGTCCTCAACCATCAACAAAAGGAAATAAGGAAAATCTACCAAAAAAACGTTGAAACCTCAGAGAGAGGGATTAGAAGAAACAGTCTGTATCATAAAGGAGAAGTGTGTCAATGTTTTAAGTATTTATACATAAGAAAATGTCTGATAGAGATGAAGGGAGCAGCAATGACAAAAGACTGGAGGAGCTATTGTCAGCAATACTAGAATATGTGAGTAGGCGTACTGTTCAAGCAGTCTTGTTATATATTGTCACAGTCCAAGATCAGCTGCCACCTTAATCACAATCCAACACCACGATCAGCTGCCTCCACAACCCACCATCCGGAATGTGTGCTGGTTGGTTTAGTCCATATTTAATCACTTTTTAATCACTTTAGCAAATACTGATTCTCGAACAAATGTTGAGCTTATTCATTATTAAGAAATGACTCACCAGACCAATAAATGTAGAACAAACTTACCAAGAGTCGGACTATTTTATTCCATATAAATACATTATTACATTCGATATCAAGTAACCAGAACTGAGCTGTACATATCTCACATGGTCCCATCCCATATCCTTCAGGCTGACGGGTGCATATTTCTGCACACCCAGCAAATATGATAAGACAAATTTAGGAGTTGGAAGACACACATGGTGGCTGCATGGTCGATTGGCCAATGTGTTCTGTTGTCACAGTTACACATTATGCCCCTGACAGCTGTACCGACCTATAGAAGGCTGTGTGAATGGGTGAAAGTGACTTGTACTGTAAAGAGGTAGTGTAAAGTGGTTGATAACAACAGCGCTATATAAATACAGTCCTTTTACCATTAGTGACGGCACACTGGAAATTCTCCCACCACCCGTGACAACACCAGTGTTACCGATTACGCTGGATATTTGACAACAGACGTGTGTCTGCTCAGTATCTGCAGAGCTCCACTTTGATCTTTAACGTTATTTTTCGCTGCAGGCAGCCTCACCCTTGTGCAGTGTTTCCCATTAATCACTGAGATTTTTATATCGTGTACATATGGAAGTAACAAAGACTCAGCTATGACAGGAAACAGAGCAGAGTTTGACCTAAGTCAACCCAGATTGTGATGTTTTCCAAATACGTGTTAACAGACACAATGAAGGGTTCAGCTTAAAGGGATAGTTCACTGAAAAATTAAAATGATCTCCTACTCTTATTATCTACTTATTATCTACTCACCACTATGCCGATGGAGGGGTGGGTGAAGTGTTTGAGTCCACAACACACTTTTGGAAACTCAGGGGAAAACACAATGCAGCCAAAGGAGTCACCAGTTACTCTAATGCAATTTAAGTAACTGGTGACTCCTTCTTCAGACCTAATAAATCAACAGAAAAATGATGCTCCCGGGTCATTTACACCGGGGTTTTTAGCCTAAATGTCCTCTGATATCATCATCGTTCATGTTCATACACAGCATACGGTGTAAATGACGCTGTTTAGAGTTGAATTTGAAAGCCGGGGTTTCTGGATACTTAGGTGAGACCACAGGAGCAGTATGTTTTTTTCTGTTCTTTTATTACGTCTGAAGAAGGAGTCACCTCGGCTACACTTCACCTGGCCCTCCATTGGCATAGTGGTCAGCAGATAATCAGTGAATTTTCATTTTTCGGTGAACTATCCCTTTATGAAAGAAGGAATACATTTGATGTGTACATGAGTCTGTGTGTGATTGTGAGCGTGTGTGTGTGTGTGTGTGTGAGTGAGAGTGTGTGTGTGCGTACCAGTTGTTTGGCCTTCTCAGCTTCCTGTCGTGTTTGTTGTCTTTCCTGGGTCATGGCTTTAGTCATCTGCTGCCTCGCTGCCTCCCTCTCTTTCTGTACCTTCTTTGCCAGCTCCTCCTTAGGTATCGTCTGCTTTTTCTCAAATCTGAAACACACATACAATAATTGAATATAGAATCAAATAACACAAAATATAATGCTCGCATTTGTTGATTTACAAAGTCCTCAGATTATGGTCAAATGCTATAGGCTTATATATACACAAGGGGGCAGCATATACCAATATTCAGGTTGGTCAAAGTCATTGAGTACCTCAAATGAGCACAGAAGATTTGGATCTCCACAGGAATGATCAAAGTTACTGCACGTTTCAACACAATATTTAAGGCTTTTAACAACTTTGAAATGAAAATTCTAAACACAAAACTTTCATCTTTCAAATGTGCCTCCCTTACTTTTAACATTGACAGGTATCAAACCCAAAACAACTGACTCTTTATTGTAAACTATAACTGACAACTTTAGTCAACCCATCCATCATCTATACCACGGGCAGGAGCCAATCCCAGTGGACATTAGGTGAGAGGTGGGGTACACACTGGACAGGTCTCCAGAGTATCACAGGACCAACATACAGAGACAAACAACCATTCATACTCACATTCCCACCTACGCTTAATTTAGCGTCTCATACTAATGCCACCCCAGTCGTCATGTCTTTGGACTGTGGGAGGAAGCTGGAGTATCTGTAGAGAACTGGCACGGGAAGAACTTGCAAACTCCTTGTAATAAAAATTCAGTCTCAACAAACTAATTTTCAACTCTGTGTTTGGCTGCACGGCCTCGCAAACATGAAGCATGTAGCCATACAACAGTGTTGAGCAAAGTTCTAATGTCAGTGCACCATTCTATTACTTCATCAGAAAATGTACAAATGTAAAGAGACATTGTGAGTCACTATTAGCGAAGTGATTTTAACACATAAACAGATATAAGTCAATGTTTGTCGTTCAAACCCACCTCCTCTGTTCCTCTTTAGTTTCTGGTTTGCTAGTGTTGGACGGGCTGCTGGACGGGGTGCTGGGTTGGGCGCGGCGCTGTGAGCTCTGCTGAGGGTGAGGGCTTGAGTTGGCACTGCCAGAGGCACCTGCACAAATACAGAAATGGTATAAAGTGCATAACACCTTTTACAGAAGACAAGCTATTATTTCAGATATAATTTAGTTTCCTTCCCGAAAATGACATTTAAAAATGTGGAGACTTTTGGAATAAGGACAGTACTTGTGTATTAACAATTCCAACAGATGCTGTTGTTTTATTGCTGCTGGTCTAGTGAGTTTCTCAAGTCTATTTATAGTGTCTCTGCAGTTCAGCAGAACTAAAGGTCTGAGTAAACCCAGTTTCATTTGGTACAATTTGGTCACATTATACATGTGACAGCTGCCATAATGAGCTCAATGATGGTTACAACTATCAGAGACAATCATCCTCTTCAGAGCCAGAGAGAAGAGTGGGAGGTAAGTGGCTGAGAGACAAAAGATAAATAAGAGATGTTACATTTGTATTGAATTGAGCCTTATATTTGGATTAAAATCAGCTCCGGTCCTCAGAACGTTTCTTTTTTATTTTCAAACAATTTTTTTTCGAAAAACTTGTTTCAGAAAAATCGAGTTAGGGGGCTCTTATAACCATGGTAATCTGACAGGTCAGTACAGTAATTACTAGATTTATATTGATTACATTTTCCATGTCTACTGATTATCATTATTATTGTCTTGTCTTTCAATGTGTATGCCTCCAATTTGTACTGCAGTTCCTTTTATATCCACAGTAATGACAAAAGACATTAACGTCTCCATTTATGTCCTCCTCCTGTCTGGGAGGGTTTTCCCAGGGTTCTCTGCCTTTCTCTCACAGCCCCCTCAACTCACCCTTACATTCAAAAGTGTTGACATTAGCAGAAAGGTGTTCATTAGTATATTTAGGACGTAAGTTGTTACTATTCGGTCAACTGACGATACACACATGCATTTGTTGACATGTGCAAGTGTATATCAAGCTCCAGAGATGAAACCTGCTAGATCAGCTCTAATGACAGAGGAATACAATGTATAATGAATACCCTGGTCAGAGGGTGAATGGTACCTGTGTCTTTCTGAGCGCTTGAGTCTGCTGATGATGTGCGTTCTGGAGCAATGTTGGCTACTCCCCGCATCCTCTGAAGAACGTCTTCTGACAGCTAAATAGAGGGATACAGGGTGAATTTTAAAAATGACAAAGACGGGTATAGGCTAGAGATACAGAATCAACACCGAACTGCAAAGACATTAAACTCTGTTTATCATAATACCAACAGTGGGAGGCCTCCTTTTCAAACAACTTAATAAAGGTTTACTGGACTATGAAGCATGTAATGCACATCATGTGGTGTCATCTTTATTCAAATGAAAATCATTCTTTCATCTTGTTAATCCTTTGGCTTGAGGAAAAACACAGGATCACTGCAGCTGTACTTCGTTTGTGTATGCTGTGTGTGTGCATGTGTGTGTGTGTGTATGCCTGCGTGCGTACGTGTCTCCAAGGAAATGGTTAAACTTAGCTACACCAAAAACCGCTGGAGTCACTGACTCACTGTTTCTATGACTCACAACATGTGAATGTTCAGGCAGCGCTGCCAAATATCATTATCTGTAAGCCTCTTTGTTTTTGCTTTTTACATTTTTACAAACAAGTTCACAATCACTGTGATGCATGGAAGTTACACAACTATTAACATTTAACGTGTGTGGTTTATCATTTGTAATCCAATGGTTGTTATACTTTGACAAGCTTGCATGTGGATGATTATATAGAGCTAGGTCTAAAGGTGAATTCAAATCCCCCTTGAAATTTGGCTATTAGATCCAAAAAGTCCTCAGAGAGGAGGAATGCTACAGATTCAGTCGCACCAGACATTCACACATTTTCTGTGTTTGCTTGAATGTAAGTGGAATAAATAAAGATCAAGGATAAACCACAAGCAGATACCTTAAAGGGATAGTTCGTATAGTTCTTATACTGAAAAATCAAAATGTACTTATTATCTACTTGCCACTATGCCGATTGAGTGCTGGGTAAAGTGTTGAGTCCACAAGACACTTTAGAAGTCTCAGGGATAAACAGTGTTGCAGCCAAGGTGACCTATTCTCCATACTGCTTGTGTGGTGTCACCCAAGTGTCCACAAGCCCCGACATTCATATTCCACTCAAAACGGCGTCATTTACATAGTGTTTTAAGCCTAAATGTCCACTACCGGAAGTAGCGATCCTAGCAGACGTGCTTTCCGGTTTGTCTGTGAAAACGTGAACTCGCCTCCAAGGATATTAGAGGACATTTAGGCTAAAAACTTTATGTAAATGATGCCATAATGAGTCAAATATGAACGTTGGGGCTCACGGACACTTGGATGACACCACAAGAACAGTATGGAGGCATGTAATGTTTTTGTTCTGTTGTTTTTTATGTCTGAAGAAGGAGTCACCAGTTACTTCAATTATATTGGATTTGGCTGCAACACCATTTACACACCCTGAGACTCCAAAAGGGTTTGGTGGACTCAAACAATTCACCCACCCCTCCGTCTGCATTGTGGTGAGTAGATAATCAGTGAATTTTCATTTTCCGGTGAACTATCCCTTTAACAGATGTCAGATGGGGTCAGGAGAGTGCTCCACATGCAAACACATCCAAAAAGCCTGTGAGGATCAAGGTGCACTGAGTACTGAAGTTACAAAAAGAATTGTAAATAAATGTTTGCAAAACTAAATCTGTAAATATCAAAAGTCTATGTATTCTGTGAAAGTACCTGTTTAAAACCTTTTTCATCTATGTTGTACTGCTATTGAGAATTAAACAAAATATGTGTCTTGACATCACCAAATGCACTGGGGCATGTGCCCATAGGCTAGCGCTGCAACTATTAGCCAATTAATCAGTCAATCAGTTAACAGATAATTGTTTTATTCACTAAATTTTTTTTTTTTTTTTTTAAAACTGTCAAAAATGTGCTTGCTGTTCTCAGCTTCTTAAGTGTGGGGTTTAATGTTTTTCTTAATAATACTTTATAATAAACTGAATAGCAATGGAGTTTGGACTGACATGAGTCAGTGGAGAAACACTGCACTCTTTCCCATCATGTTATAGACATATCAATTAAATAATTAATTAAAAAGATGTTGATTAATTAAGTAATAATGAAAATAATGATTAGTTGCAGCACTAGTGATCTCAATCGAACTCTATTGTAATATGATTCATTGTGCACACAAGCCATAATCATAAGTATACCTCAACTGCTGCAAGAAATGCTTGTGGACAAAATAGATTTACTATATTTTATAGTTTAGCGTGCTGTGTTTGGCTTCATATGCAGTTATATTATCGATTGATTGGTTGGTCATGACTTGCAGTGGGCAAAATTCCCACAAGTCCAACAGCACTGGAAGGCACCGCTGTCAGGAGGCTGAGGCCATCAAACCAAACTTCATGCGAAAAAATGAAATATAAATCCCCCGTGGTTCTGCACATTAAACCTCACAGCTAAACCCATGAGACAACAACGAGACTGTGTGCATTGACTTTGCATCACAGCCACAGTGCAGCCGACATGTTCACCTCAACCACTAACGAAGGTTAACACTTGGTTCACCTGGGTGCGACCAGGACGCCTGGTGCTAGCAAACCCAGGACAGTCGCTGGTGAGCTGTGGGCAATGTGGGATTTCCACTGGAGTCAGTCCCGCTTGGTGGATAAAAATCAAGCCGAATCAACCAGAACGAGTTGATTGTTGCTAAAAGACCTTAATCATATGCCAGATATGTCCCTGAGCTGATGAGCAAGGCACACTTCTTCCCTGCAGCGTATTGCGGCTGAGGTCTGGTGCAGGGAACAAGAGGAATGTTTAAATCGCCCCAGGTTGTACATCAACCTGTCACTGCCTCTCTCTTCGCATCCTCCTCCTCCAGCTCTAACACGCTCCACGCTCACGGTCATCCAGGTGATCCACGGACCGGGTTAGCTGGGGCAGCAACACGCTAACAGCTAGTTAGCACCAGGCAGCACCGCACACTGTCATATAAAAAGATTAGCATGGCTTATCAAGCGCTAGCTAGATTAGCATTACCTTGACTCCACGGAGAATCCTGACTCTGTCCTCGTCATCCACACCGAAGGACACTTTTCTGGTTGTACTCTCCCCGGAGCCCATGGCTGTGTGGTTAAAGTGTGAGCCCTGCTAATGCACGGGGATGACACTGTCATGAAAAGATAATGTTAGCGTCCTGCCCAGGGACTCGATCTGTGACAGATGGGATCTGGGTTGCCAGGCTCTCCTGAAGCATCCCCCTCTCGTGGTGATGTGTAAAACCCAGACAGTGTTGTTCTGTGGCATTGAGCAAAACGATGAAATGATTCATGAGAAGATTCATTAGAATGTGTTTACATGTGTCTTTGAGTAAAATCATTTCTGCTCGAGTCATTATTAGTTACCTATTTACTGCCCAACCTGGCAACCCCAGTGCCACCCACTGCACTCTGTTGAATGAATGATCTTAAAGGTTCAGTGTGTAGAATTTAGTGTCATGTTGCAGTTGAACACCCCTCACCTCACCCTCTCCTTCCAAACATGGAGAGGAACCTGTGGTAGCTTCAGTTTTCATAAAAACTCAAAAGGTGTTTAGTTTGTCCAGTTTGAACTACTGTAAAAAAAACATGGCCGCCTCTGCAGAGAGGACACGCTCCCTGTTTAAATATAAAGTATTTAATTATATTCATTTTTTTTGCCTAAATATCCCTTCAACCTGAATCTTACACACTGAACCTTTAATCTGTGGAAGCCTACAGCACACTATATTAAAATAGAATACAATTTTAAATAAAAAATATAATTCAGCACAAGCAATTTCAGCCTTTTGATTTTCCATGTATTTCAGTAAAAAAAATAGAATGAAAACACATCAGTGGAATTTGCATTTTTATTTTCACGTGTTCTGTGACCATACAAAAAGGAGTAACTGTGACATTTGATTTTCCAAGTCTTGCAGTGGCAATTAATCAAACATTAACTCAAATTTCAAAATTAAGATGAAGTGTAAATAATGTAACTCGATTTTTAATAGTAAATGCAAAAATCTAAATGAAATCGTATTATGATTTTAAAATGAAAACAGCATTTGACAATTCATTGCAAAGACTTTTAACATATTGTACCATGGATATTATTAAAATGCAACAATAAACAGCGCCCCATATCTGTCAGCCATTTAGGTTTTTCTTCAGTTAGAGCATTAATCATTATAAAAGGAAAGATGTTGGGAAGACTAAGATCAACAAATGAATACTTTAAAATCTATTCTAAACGATACAGATGATATTCTGAATTAGTTTGGAGAATCTAAGGTTCTAAAAAATCTGACTTGAAGAATTTAAAAAATAATATTTTAATGACCTTGTTCGAATGAGAAACAAAACAAGAGTTGATTATCACTCCTCATTTGTGACATGTGTTTTAATCAATTTGCTGAGACAATCAAACATAGAGTAATGCTGTTGGGGGGCCTATTACAAGTTTCCTTTCTCTGTTTTGTTATATCCTCATTTAGATTTAAAAAGCTTTTACCCATTCATTCATTCATGTCCATGAGGCAGGCAATAAGAGCATCCGGTGTACTGAGGTTATCTGGTAAAAAAGCTGTGTGTTGTCAGCAACTAACATAGTGACTGGTTCCCAGTGAAAGCATAAATCATGAAAAAACAACAGCAATTACATAGATCACGAGCATCCAAGTAAACCCATTTCTCAAGTCGATCATATCAAAGCTGCACTGAAATATGACAGAGAATTCATACATTTAATACATCCACTCTGATTCTCAGGTCATTTACAAAGCTCAGCGCTGCGGTTTGCTTTTCTAAATTCTGTTATTTGCTAAACAAACATCATTTTCCATAGAAATTTACCTGGGAAAGGTCAATTAAATATAAGTCTGTAATTACTTAGCCCTGAGTAATTTAGAAAGAGGTGTTTACTGTAACGTGGTAGAGGATTTAGAATCAGGATCTAGATAGCATACATACTCCACAAAAAGAATCCTGATCATGAGAAAGAAATACAACTATTGTAAACAAATTATCTCACGATTAGTACATTTTTTGTAATGCAGTCATGCCTAGTAGTAAATAAACCCTTTATATTAGCATAGCATCATAAAATCTTGGATTACACAGCTGCGGAATATCACATTTCTAAGCTTATTACTAATTAAGAAAGTCACATTAAAAGTACAAATAAAAATAATAAACATTTGTAGCAGGACTTTACATTTTATAAATATTTCCATGCAGATTTGAAAGGAAGCAGAAAATCCAAAATGGTTTATAATCATTTACTTATGTAGTTTTTAACATATCTGTGCATTACTTGAGTAGATTTATTTTCAGGGACTTTTCACTTTTACTCCATATATCAGCAAATGTCTGTTCTTCCTACAACATTTTTAAAGTTTATTGTGTTACAAGTTAATATTGGGTGTTTAAATGATTTAAAGTAATCAATAACAAGAGGGGAACTGATCCAATGAGAGTGCGCATACACATTAGACCCCGCCCACTGCAGCGGTTGCATCACTGGTGAACCAACGTCCAGCATACAGTAGATCTGGAAGAGGCCGAGACTCAACCATAACGATGTAGTTGTGTGTTGCATTAGACAACAGGCTTCACTTTGCAAGTACTTTTACATAAATACTTTAACTACAATTAACAACACTTACTTTCACTCAAGTAGAACAATTACTGTGTTATTTTAACTTTTACTTTTAGTCTATTTATTTGTACTTTTGTTGCTTCCTCCACTTGAGGCCAGTTTACTTGGTTGAACAGACAAATATGCAAGAAAAGTATTTTTTTAAATTAGATTTCACATCCCACTGTGCAGAGTGATCCAGGACTCTGTTGTGTTTGAGTGAATACTGAATGCTGGGTAAACCGGCTCCCTGAACACTGCCCTGAAGGTATGCAGGTGATCCCTGCGCCCTTTGGTGCTGTGGAACGATAACGTACCACCCTCATAGTCTAACGCTACCTCAATCCTCAGCGGATGGGTAGTAATTTCCCCCAGAGCCACATTAGACGAGGACTGGCACACTGTCAGCTTACCGTTTTTCCACTGCAATCGCCAGGACACAGAGTTGTGTCCCAGACGACTGTGGTCACCGCGGCGCGGGATGCTCTTGTAACACACGCCCAGTGACCACATGCTGTTGGCCCCCACCTCCACCACCCATACGTGCTCACCACTTGAGAAACCTTGGCTGCACAGAACCTGTGGTGCACTTGTGAAACGCTCCGTGTGATCTGGGTATGTCTGCTTGCTGGAGCTGTACTTGACCGTGCGCAGATCATTGGACACGATCAAGCTGGGATGGGCAGTGTAGATGTTGAAGGTGAGTTCCAGCGGGTTGAGGATGATGTGAAGAGAATCCATGAAGCGGATCATCTCGGAGCGGAAGTCTTGGGTTTTGAGGCCTGTCTGGAGACGCCTGGTGTTGAGCGGTGCCTTTGATGGGATTGCGGAGGGGAGGGTGATTTCCACAACCTTTCTCAGCTGATCTTCAATCAGCAGGAACCTAATGAGCAGAGAAAGTTCCTCACTTCATTTCCACAATATCTTTACATAGGGACTGGGACACAATTCACAATATAATCCAAACACTCCTTTGACCCAAGTTCACAACTTTTCAAAATAAAAGCTTTGTTATCAGCTCTGAAGCCTTATTATTTTACAAGTAGACTTTAGAGAGATAATTACTTTCACTCTGTTGTACCTGTGTATGAAGACACATGTGTCAGTCTCACTCAGGGCTTCTGTTGCCCTTTGCTGTGCATCCAGTAACTGCTGCTGTTGCTCTTCCAATGCAATCACTCCTTGCTGCCAGCTTTTCCTGCGCTGGCCTCTCTCCTCCTCCAAAAGCATACGCAGACGCTCCCTGTACCTGAAACCAAAGCAACAATACTACATCAATAGGAGTCAAACAGGTCACATGAGATTTATTCATTTTAGTTATCATCACTAGCCTTTCTATTCCACTACTTACTACAGACAAACTTTGTAACTAATGAATGATGAGACATCTTGAAATTTGTTAGAGTTGACCTTGAATAATCCCTGACGCTAATTCACTGATCATCAGTGAAAAGGTTTACTCCTAGACTGCAGTTGAACCTCCTTTATTAGATTAAATCTTATTATAGTTTTAATCTGCAGTGTCACTCCCTGATCCGGTTTGTCCAGTCTTAAGAAGGAACGTCTGTTATTGTTCTATCACTGATAAAAATTTCTGACAAAGGCAGAGCAATCGTGTGAAACTCTGTTAAACCACCTTTATATGATAATGGAGTAAATTAGTTTTTACTAATTTAAATACAGTGTTTGAATTACTGTGCATTAAGGCTGCATATTCTCATTGGATTAGATTCATTCTATTTTAGACACAAATTGTGATTTGATAGAAATAATAAACCAAATTAAGGGGACTGAATGATAGTTCCTCTAATACATTTACTGCCATCCTCTGCACGCAGTGTCTGAGTGAGCCAAGTCAAAGTTTGAAAAATAAAAAAGTGTGCTGACATATTATTTATCAAGAGTTTAAGTCAAAACATTTGCTGCGGACTGTGTGGGTCTGCTTTGTTCAGATTTGGCCTAGAAACAACAGCAACAAACCCGCATTTGCCATCAGAGTCAGACTTCACACAGGTGAGAGGAGGACAGAGACACTCATGAATTTAAAACTGTCGTCTTTTAATGTCCAACACTGCTCATAATATAAGACACTGATTGGGGAAATACAGTGCTTTTAAAAACATCCGTCAATATGTCAGTGTATCTGCTTGAGTAGTATCTCGACCCGCACATGTACAATCTATTACCTGTCCATGACGGCAGCCATACTGTCCATGAGTGTGACAGCCTTGTTGATCAGTTTGTCACCTATGGCTTCGGAGGCTCCCTGCTCCTCTGCAGTTTTCTGAAGGAGGATCTCGGCCATCTGCAGCCTGCAGGACACAAGCTGCAAACGCACATTTAAAGCATTTGTGTGTTAAACAATGCAGGAGGAAAATCTGGAATGACTGGTTGTTCTTTACTGATGCGGGGAAAACACAGAGAGCATATTTTCATATCATTCTCTCACAGCTTCTCTTCCATTCCCATGATCTCTGTGAATTGACAGCATTGCTGTTGAGGTTGGCCTGTTTGATAGATTTCATATTTGTCACAATATAATTATCATCCAAAACAATATAGCAAAGGTTCAATAAATATTGATGTATTGCTTATGTATTGTGTTAGCAAAGTGAAAGGGTAAAACACAGAATGGAAAACTCAGTGGAACTGACACTCACGACATCATCGTTACTTAAACAAGCTCAATCAGTCTTTTGTATTGTTACTGTTATTTCAGCATCAAATATTTCTATCATTGTTTCCCAATGGGCATAAAACATAACGTTCTAATTAAAGGGGAGAACTGGAGTTTGATTGAAACTAAAGTTAAGACATTAATTATTCTTCATTACCTTGGCCAAGGAGGTTGTTTTCATTTATTTGTTTGTGTGTTTGCAAGCAAGATTACACAAAAACAACCCAACACATAACACAGGGGTTTTTATTTCACTTTCTCTAACATTGTGAATCTTGAAAAATCTGTGAGTTTCAGTGAACTAATATCTATGAATGTACGAAATCTGGTGTGGTTTGATTGAATTTAAGGGGCCTATTGGGCCTTGGTGCAGGTATGTGCTCTACTGAGTGCTCTTCTATTATTCTTTTTCTCCAAGTATGTCAAATGGTACACTTTCACACTGATCCTTCTGTGCGCAAAGTTATATCTAGGCACCAATTTCATCCTAGTGTCTGTAATTTTCTCATAATAATACAGAATTACATTCCATTCAGGAAATGCCTTGTCAATTATTGAATTATTCAGGAATTTGATGAAGTGAAACTCAAATGTTTTCTTTTAAAACTGGTTCCACACATTGTAGATGTTTTTAAAAAATGGAGCAAAAGCCTATGAAAGGGACTCAAATCTACCTTATTGCGGCTCGCCAGTGCCCGCCTCATTTCTTCTTCGGCCACGCTGAAGGTGAGTACATCATGGTTCTGGTGATAGCCCTGTAGGAAGCATGTGCTGCACAGTGAGGTCATGTCATTGGAGCAGAAGTACTCCAGTGGCTGCTGGTGGACGGTGCAGCTCTTCATCCCCAGCTCTTTCAGAGGCTCCACCACGGAGTGCGTCCTGAATGACTCCTTCTCATGGTGTTTCTGAAGGTGCCTGGAGCACAGGGACACCTCACACTTCAGGCAGGACTTCACAGCCAACACTGGCTGGTCGATGCAGTATTCGCAGACAACTTGCACGGCCGGGGAATGAGTGTCGTGCTGCTTTTCCAGATTCGGTATGGCGGCTTGGTAACCCTCAATGATGTTGCAGAGTTTGAAGTTTCTCTGGAGGGAGCCTATGCCCTCATATTCCTCTCGACACTCCGGGCAACGTGGGAGCGTTTTGCCACACTCGTCCGTCATGGCTACGGTCTTGCAGATGCAGGCTTGGCAGTAGTTGTGCCCACAGGGGAGAACCACTGGGTCGGAGAAGAGCTGAAGGCAGATGGGGCAACTCAGCTCCTGAACAAGCTGCTCCTCCGGCTTGGACATGCTGAGAGCGGATGGTAGCTTCTTGCTGGTTTTTCTCTTCTTGTCAACGCCCTCTGCCCATCACACTACATATCTACCTTGGGTCCAAGAAATATCTGCTTTGCTCTCTCTGCTTTCTTGTCTGTCAAAGCCACAGGTGAGTGTGAAGCAAAGACTGGTAATACAGAGCAAAGGGGGAAGTACTCACCCTTTATGTATTTATCTGAATAGTAGGAGGTGCACGACAACATTCCTGTCCAAGAGGCCCGGTCGTCTGTGCTGCCAGAAATTGACACCATCATCATGGCTGCTGTTGATGGTAAAAATATGCTCCACATGACAGTTTCACACACAAGCTCTCAGTTTTTTTCTCAATAGATTTACATCGCACAACTTTGAGAAAATTCAGCGGAGAAAATGCATTGCACTCAATCTAACAAAACAGAAGTTTTATCTAACAGCATCTCTGTCTGGTTTATTGTGAGCATGGAAGTGTGCACAAGTCTGTTTCTGCATGTGCTTGGTCCACAAACTGTAAATGGGGGAAGCTGGTACCGTACACACAGTGAAATCACATGTGCACGCGTCTCCTGTTGACTGTCAACACATCGGGAGGAAATACTCATCGCTTCCACCTCCTTCTGTGTTGTTGTGTTCCATGTTTGGTGTGTTTTAAGGTCACCTGTACCTATATAAAGGAAAGAGGGGGCAAAACACAATCACAAGTTTTGCAGTGAAAGTGAAGTGCTTTCTCTGAAATTAGTCATACAGCCGAAAGCAATGACTATAACCGACAACTGCAAGGACCATGTCCTGACTACTTGTTTGACTTATTAGCCTACACTGGCAAGCTGGGAGAGATACACACAAATCTAGCAATTTCTCCATTAATACAGATTTAATTGTAATATCTTAGTTTAATATCATTTCAATGTATTATGGTCATTTTTTTCACAACAACCATAAGAAAATATTAGCATGATAGTGATCTTTTTTTTGCATGATAATCCATTTCACATGATGTCATATCCCCCCCTGCCAGGTGCGATCATATTGTGTTTCCAGTGAAGGAAATGTACCTGCAGTAGAGAAAACCTGCTAGAACAATGGCTTCATAACGTCCACACCCAGTTCTCCACTGTTTCAATCAGCTCAGGCAAAGTGAAATGATGAACTCTGCTGTTAATCTGCTTTAGCTGCTGCTTTATGTTTTAATATGTCTGCAGTGTAGGTTTCAAGAGAGGTGGAAATCTTATGTGATCATGTTCACATCATCTTCTATCCTCTCTTTTGTTTTTGCCAGGAAAGCGATACCAAATGAACTGCACCCTTAGTCACTGTCTTTTGTTTCTCATCACAGCCCCAATGTTCCAGCTACTGGGAGTTAGACGTGACAAGATTCTTGAAAGCCAAAGTCCTGAATATCAAACTGAACCTGATGATCGGCATTCCTGCTGTGTCAGGAGATTTTCCTTTACCAGAAATATAAAAGGCTACCTGGAAACCCAGACTGCCTCCTCCGCTGACTAATGGCTGTGTATACTTAGAGCTTTGGGACCTGTTTTAATTGATTGAAAGATTGTTGGAGGATTGCTGCTGTTGCTGTCAAGTTCTTGACACTATTGGCTTTCACACTATTGTAAGACTAAGTATTGATGCCAGTGCTTAAAGGAGACATATTATGCTCATATTGTGCTTGACAATTTTAATTTGGTTTATTACTTGAAAAGGTTTTCATGCTCTAATGTTCAGAAAACACATCTCCTTCCTCCATTGCTGCAGCTCCTGTTTTCAACCTCTGTCGAGAACACTTGGTTTAAGCTCCTTCAGGCCCTCTCTGTTGTGATTGGCTAACCCATTCTAGCATGTTCACAAAATGTTGGACCTCACCATACCTGTCTTTGTTAGGAGGCGTGCCAGATTAGGTGTGCATAATGCCAACACTCACAACATCATTGTTGTGATTTCCCAATGGGCATAAAAAGATTAGGTGTGCATGATGCCAACGTGGGGAAGACACATGATATCATGATGATGATGTGAACGTATCGGCCAGAAAGCTAAGGAGACGTATTCAGGAGCAGTGTTTTCTCTTGGATTTTTAACTTGCAGAACTTGACGATGGATGAAATGGCCAATGATTACTATTTTCCCAAGAAACAAGCAAGCTTTATGTTATTTGTTACGCTCCGATAGATTCTTTGTGGAGAAGCCTGACAAGTTTCAAAAGTTTGTGACGTTTGAGTCAAAAACAATTAGATGTCAAAAGAATTAAAGGTTAACGTGCTGGCATGTTGTCCTGTTAAAAAAATGCTGAATTTCCTGTTTGAGCAGCAGTTTGATAGATTTCATCCGACTGGTACAGAGAAAAGAAAGAAAAGAAAAGTGAGACAGCATCAGTTGTTGTTCATTGTATTTGACAAGTCAAGTGAGAAGTTTTTCTTAAACCAATGTGACGCTGATGAGGTTGCTTTAGCTCTTCACATAATATAAAGATAAGTCTCTGGCTTAAATGATACTGTACATTCTCGTGTTAAAACTATGATCTGGTGCTCATGTGAACAGTTTTTTCCTCTTGCGGTCATTATTTGTTTTATTCATACTGACCCTTTAGAGATCCTTGTGTGATTTAGATGCAAGTGATGGGGGCAAAATCTCCCGTGCAAATTATTGTATATTCCAACATTTATCAGTCTAGACTTAATATAATCAAGCAGATACTATGTCCTCCAAAGTCTTTCCAGTTTAGAGTCCCATACGAGCTACTGTCAGTCCTGGACCTAAATGAAAACAACCAGGACTGGAATGCATGAGTGTGCAGGAGGACTGTGGAGTTTATCAGCACTATCACAGGAAACACATGAGACTGTTCATAGACCTCAAAAACCATATATTGTAACTGTAGGCCTTATTTTTTAATACACAACATACAGGTTGATAGTGTA